TCCCCGTTCCCCTCCCCCTCCCTCTGTCCCTCTCCATCTCCCTTTCCCTCTCCCTCTCCTTCTCTATGTCCATGTCCAAGTCCCCCTCCCTCTCCCCTCTCCCCTCTCTCTCCCTCTCCTTCTATCTTTTACCTACCAACAATCAACACAGTTTTACCTATCAACAATAAACACAGTTTCATATCTGATAGACCCTATGCTTAATTGTTATTTTGTAAATGGAATGTAATTTTGTAGGTGATTTACGAGGTAAGATGTTATATTTTCTATACTAGTACTTGTATACAATAGTATAGTATGTAAATTCATTTTAGAAATGTGTCACTCTTCTCATTTTGTATCTCGTGCATGTTTATATGTTTCCTCTCAAAACACCTGAATATTTAGTTTCATATATTCAGTCGCATTTCAATATAGTGTACCCCTTTTGGATGTTAGTCTTGAAGGTTGCTTTATGTGTTATTGTATTCCCTATACTATCCAATATATACTATAGTATAATATATAACATATATATATTGGGTTAATGGTTTGGTTTCATGGTTTATGGTTTTTTTTCACTGACTATACTATAGCATATGCATCATAGTATATTGTCTTCCATATATGGTGAACACTCGGTCAGGTTAACATGCTATAGTGTCCTTATGATTATGCACAATGTTATTCACCGTCTACTATAGTTTGCTATAATCAACTCCCTCCGTATTTAATGTCTCCTCTTATCCGAACCTTATTTTGTCATATATTGTATGTTGGGTATTAATTGATATTCTATCCTTGTATAGTATAGTCAACTTACCTCTTTCTATATATGCTTCCCAGTTTCATTTACACTTACAATAACTCTGTTTTGTACATCCCATTTACAGTGAGACGAATTCCGTTTTTTCAGATATTATCTTATGTTGCCAACCATAGTGTAGACTATCGTCAGTAAAAGTATAGTATATTTTTTTTACATAGCCTCGTCTTTGTGGTCACACAGTTGTTATGGTTTTCATGGTTCAGTTCTCTCCACTCGCCTCATAATCACTCGTACGCGAGTGAAAGGCTATTATCGTTATGATGCGTGTGAAAATGTCAAATCAAAATGCTATGGCTATATTCTTAATAAATCATTTCCTTATGAATATTAGGCAAATTGCCCCTTAGTTTAAAGTTACAAAAAAAAACATAAATTAGGTGAAATAGATACAAACAAAGTGGGCTAATGGCTCTTCGCTCTTGCCCTCCAAACGTTTTCTCAGTACTGTAATGTCGGTAGATACTTCAATCTGAATTTTTTTCAAGTCATGTCTTTTCATTCCTAACTTTGATACTAATGCGTATTGTATATTGAACTACACAAAAATTTTAAAACACTACATGAATTTTACGGATCTGGCATTTTTTTCTTGAACATTATAATAATGTATATTTTACATGGAACTAAAAAAGGTATAAAAATACTACACAAACTCTCAAAATCATGCATATATATATAAACCGTCAAATTTATTAGTTATCAGCTAATTTATCAAAACAACATCATATTAGATCAATTTTATAAAACTGAAAATTTTAAAAATGCTCCATGAATTTTAAAAATCATGGTTATATATATATATATTAATCATCAAAGATGTTACCTATCAGTTAATTTATCAAAACAACGTCATTTATATAAATTTTATAAAATTAAAAATTATTTTTTGGGGGGTTCGAATTTTCACATTAGTGGACAAGTAAGAGCCTAATAATTGTTAGACCAAAGTATTTTTCTTGTCTAAATTTTGTAAACATTAACTTATATAAGTTTTTAATCAAATAAATGTTATCAAATTTTTATTCTTTTAAATTGATCAAATAAATTTATAATTATTTATGTTTTAAATTTAAATTTACAAATAATTATTTTATAAATTAACTTAATTATTATTAATTTAAATATTCACTTTATACTTATCCATTAGTGTGAGAATTGAAACATCCCATATTTTTTTTTAATTTTATAGAGTTATCCTAAATGATGTCGTTTTGATAAATTAACAGATGATTAATACTAGCCATGGGCAAAAAATCGGAACTGAAAAACCAAACCGGAACCGAACCGTAATATCCGAAACCGAAACCGGACCAAAATTCTTAAGAGGGTGTTATTGGTTTGTATATTTTAGTGGATTTGAAAATATAAATCAAATATAATGTTATTGGTTCTATGATTTTAAAATCCCTATTCAAATTCATTGTTATTGGTTCTATGATTTTAAAATATGTATTCAAATTCATTGTTATTGGTTCTATGATTTTAAAATAGATTTTAAAATCAGGCATTATTCAATAATAATGATTTGCTTGAGGATTTGATTTTAAAATAGATTTGAGTGGATTTGTGAGTTAAAAATACAAAGAAGCAAATATTGAGTTGAACCTTGTTATTTTGATAGTGTATTATTGATTTTCTTAATAATTGTTTTCTTGCCCCAAGTTTTACGTACATATTATCCATGTTTCTCTAATAATAAGCGAATACTAATATATTAACCAACCATCTCTAACCATCAAAACTTTACGGAGAGAATATTTGTGTGTTAGTTTACGTGTAGTCTTTTTAAAAAGTTCTGACGAATCGATAACTTTATGTTATCATAATAACATAAGATATAGAAAATGATAAACCATATGTTGTAGTTTTATATATATTTTCTTTTGTTACAAAGCTGCGTTTATCTCAAATCCATTTCCTTGATTTCTAATAATTCAATTATATTGATTTTGAAATCTATTTCATTGATTCTGAAATCTACGTATTTGATTCTAAAATATGTGGATTTGTCAAAAATTTCAAAATCCAAAAAGGATTTCTAAATCTATAAATATCCGAATTGTTCCTTTATTTATATACTCGAAAAACTGAATCAGAACCGAAACCGAACCGAAAACCGAACGGGTACCCGAATATCTGAAAAAATAAGTTAAAAATTGTTTAACATAAGATAAAATGACATCAAGCCCACCTGAACTCAGGTTGGATACAAAGAGTAAGTACATTTTTACCACCAAACTACATTATGTTTTATTTATTCTCTTATATTATAATATATATAATATTTCTATATTAAAATACAATAGATATTTATAAAATTAACACTTTATTGATTTGAACTCTTGTTAGATTGACGAATATGTAAACGTGTAAACACTAGACCATTTAAATTAGCATATTAACTAATATATTATGTATATATATATTTGATTTATATATTAAACGGGTACCCGGAGCCGAACCGAAACTGAACTGGAACCGAATCGAAACCAAATCAAAATCTCATAAGTATTTATTGGGTATAGGAATGATTTATCTGATATACCCAAAACCGAATGGTTCCTATCCGGAACCGAATCGAATATCTGAATGCACATGTCTAACTAATACCTTTGATGATCAATATATATATAAGCATAATTTTAAGAGTTTGCGTAGTATTTTTAAACTATTTTTACAGAATTTGTAAAAAATGGTGTCGTTTTGCTAAATGAACGGATGGGTAAAATATTTGATGATTAATATATATACACAATTTTTAAAGTTTATGTAGTATTTTTAAATTTCTAATTTTAGAAAATTTATCTGAAATGACTTTAATGATAAATTAACTGATGGCTAACAGATTTGATGGTTTATATAAACACGGTTTTGAGAATTCATGTAGTATTTTTATACTTTTATTTAATTTAGTGTGGAATATGTACTACTATAAAGTTCGGGAATTGAAAAAAAAAAAGTTTTCATACAGTATTTTAAAGTTTTTGTTTAGTTCATTATGAAATAGACGATATTACAAAGTTGGGAAGGAAAAAAGAACTGAAATAGGCCCTTTTACCATACATCCAGTACCAGCCCAGAAAATCTATCGGCTATAAGCCAAAAACAACTATGAGCCAACTCAGCTGAAAACATTTTTAGAAATAAATGGCCGAAAATATACAAATTCATAGGGCAGTACACTATGCTTTCGGACATCTTGCACTGTCATGAAGCTAAATCAAACGGATTTAACCACCTGGGAAGCTCCCTGGAGAAACTAAAACGTCGATTACATAAGTAAGCTATGTATGGAGTGTATAGCAGTAGTAATGCTAGAATCTGAATAAAAATGAATTGATGATATTAAAGGATTTCACTTGGATAGTTTCTTTGTGTTACTTATAACAAAACGGACACGCTTCTTGATGTGTATGTAGTTTAATCTGTTAGTTAGATCCATCTTGCTACTTTCCCTTTTCCACTTCTGTTTGGGATGATGATCATGCGTGGTGATGGTCATTTGGTTTAGCTGGAGCGACTTTGGCTGGGGTCGAAAGATCCGACTGAGAGGAGCGGATCAGGATCTGCATACAGAGAGTGATGACACCTAGACCAAGCGCTGATAACGCCATCCCTTTCCTTGAGGAAAAGAGATTTGACCAGTGTAAGAATCTCATTGCTCCGAGAGTTAGTAGGCAGGCCCATGATAGAACCACCTGGAAAAAATATGAAGAGGTTATTGAGCTTTTATGGATGGATCCAGGAGAATGTTTTGAGAGACTCACTGCAAGAGACTTTATGGGACGGCCAATGTTATGTTCTTGATGACCAGGGAAAGTGTCTGAAGCTATATGTTTCTCTAACAGTGCATCCTGTACCACAGAACCGAGATGAGAGTGTGTCCAAAATTAATTATTCTCTATGGAATCTTGAACAAGCATGTTGCCAACAACTGAGAAGTAGAAAAAGAAAACAGTAAACACATAACATTTATACCTTAGCCACAAACTGATCTATGCACCACTGTGCAATTGACTCATCTGATTCAGGCATATCTTTCATAGAGTGACATTTGATGTGAACATGCACCTGAAACCAGCATCAATGGTTTCGTGAATGAGCCATATGATTTCTAACACATTATGGAAGCAAAGGTGACATTTCACTTCTTAAACCAGAAAATATCTCAAGATAGAGGGATGTAATAGTCTAAGTTGCAGTGAAAAGAAAATGAATAGTGAAGTGAATACTATGAAATGTGGTGAGAAGAGTGGCAGATGTAACTAGTATATGTTACTTAACAAAGACATATTTTATACTTGCTTACCACAGAAGGCTGCCCTCTGAATAGTCTTAGCATAGTTGGGGATGGAGAAGTTTTTGGAATAGCAATGGTCATATCATAAATGGCTGGGACAAATGAACGCATATTACTAACAGTTGACACAAACCCCTGAAATAAAAATACAAGCCAAGATTAGTAATCACTACAGAACCCACAAACATCAACCACCAAATCCATGTGATAAAAGCATAAGTATAAAAAGATTCACATAAAAATAATATTCCAACTTACTTTGGTGCGAGGAATCAAGACATTACGAGGGATAGGCGAATCAGAGGAAGCTGCATACTCTTGTGCTGCTTTAAGTTTTGCCTCTGTAAAGCGGGTTCCCTCCACGAAAAGGGCTAGCCAGAATGGTCGAGGGAAGTCGTTCAAGCGTTGACTACCTGACTGTAAATTTAGATAAACACATATAAGTCATGGTCTGGAAATGAAGATTTTGCATCTTCACGCTTATGAGATATACCATAAGTTTGTTACACAGAAGCAAAAGCTAAATGAGTTGCACAAAACGAATATAAACACATACCTTTATAGTGTTTTCATCCTTTGCCCATTTTCTTTCCAGAAACAGATACTCCGAGAACCACATTGACCAGCCTATGACCTGTATATGTGCGACAATTCTATGTATATGAATACTTAATGTGAGAGAATAGAAAGGAGAAGCGAATGAAATCTAAAGCAATTATCTTTTGCTCAACTCAAAGCTATAGTTCTTAAGTTTCTAACTAAAAGCAGATATATTAAGAAATACTATTCAAGATTACTAAGTAAACTAATTAATAAATTCACATACTGGAAGAAATTTGGAAGACTTCTTCGTTACAGCTAATGTGCTTCCCAAACAACCTGACCTCTGTAAGGAAAGAAAATATGAAACAATGAATTAAAGGATGTAGGCAGCATAACATTGAGTCTGTTAGAGAAAATACTATGATGCTGTTTCTCTCTTATCTCATCAGTGGATCATTTGAGACTGAAACCGTCTATCTAATAATAAAAAAAAGTTATTCACTAGAAACAATGCTGATCCCCATTTATGCATCCACGCAAAGCAGATTGTCTAGAAATAAGACACATCAAAACATCGAGACTAAATCATGTATGTACCTGGGCCAGAATCCATCCCACAAGCCAATCAACATCACTTCGGTGATTACAAACGACAAGAGCATGTTCTTTGCCTGCAAAAAAAAAGGGTATACAAACAGTCACTGAAGTTGCATATTCGTACATATATAAGACCTTTTTATATTTCGATTTCCAAGAAGCAGGAATTTTTACCCATTCGATTAAGCGTCTCATTATCAGCAAACACTTTGATCTAGGGGAAAAAAAGAAGCAAGTTTCAGAGCAAGTCATATTACTTATAAAACAAAATCCACATAAATTCATGTGTAGTTAGTTATGTACACTAATTAAATGAGAAAGGGATCGTCTCATTCTGTTCCTTGACTTATATAAGCTACGGTAACAAAGATGGTTTTGTTTCTAATCATATTACTAAATAGGGAAAAGAGGATACCTTGACTCCTGCCCACCAGTCAATGATCCAGACAAGCTCCAGCCACAAGGTTTCTGCAAGTACCCGGTTGATCTTTCTGTATGTGTTCTTGGACAGAGGTCGAATGAGTACATAGCAAATTGCCTGAAATAGAAAGAAAAAAAGAAATTGTAAACATCAAACTAAAGCAAACGAAGTATAAAGACGAACATTCCCTTAGTCTAGAGAACCATCATAACTCGATAGGGGAACTTGATACTTAAACCCTAAATATGTAGAAAACCTATTCAGCGTAGTACGGAAACCCTAAAAAGCAGTGGATCAATACGGAGACGGTTAAAAAAGGAAGAAGAGAGGTTTACGAGGAGGAGTAACACCTGAAGGAGGTTCACGAGGAGACCAGAGATGAAGAAGAGAAGACTCAAAGGCACTATAACAGCTGCAGCCATCGCCATGGAAGGAATCAACGTCGACGGAGAGAGCTCCGATAACCTAAAACGTTCCGGTAATTACGTAAACTAAGCGGCGAATTTTGATTTTGAAACTCAAGACAGCTTGCAGATAATTGATTTGATTTATATAATCAGGAGGACACTTCAACACTTTCTCAACACGGAATGGGTGTTACTCTCATAGTTTCAATCTAGCCCCTTAACCTATGTTTATATTTCGCAAAAATTCCCGTATCTTTTGTAATCAATAAATGTCCCATATTTTTTCTCAACACGGAATGGGCTTTATTTTCATAGGTTATCAGTTGTTTCGAGTTTCACTTCTTTGAGGATTTCATTTATTTCTTTCCAAATTATAAAAGATAAAATTATATATGATATATAAGTGTATTTTTTAAATGGAACAAGAAAAACAAATAGTACTCTAAAAAATAGTTTAATATTTTAAAATATTAATTTAATAAAACAAATCAGAGAACTTAATACCATAACATCCAAAATATTTTTATATTGATAAAATTTACTAAAATAATATCATAGATGCTACTATATATAAAATTCATCAAAATATTATGGCTAAATTAGTTAAGCAAAATAATATAATATATTTATAAAAATTGAAATATACCAAAATGATATATTTTAAACACAAAATGGAATTATCAATTAGCCTAATATTATTTTATAATAGCTAAATAAAAATTAAAAAAAAAATTGAATGCAACTTATAGAAATTAGTTAAAACATACTCTAAAGGAGATTTTTTATTTGATTATTCCAAATTATGCATTTATTTTACTTACTCAAAAATATATTAGCAAGTATAAAAAGAAAAAAACATTATATTTTAATTATGTTGGATAACAAAGTAAAAAAATAAAAAAATATTATTTATTAATAATTTTGAGTAAAAACCTAAACAAAAAGATTACAAAGTTACACATATAACACATTTAAATATATATTTAAAATGTTGACGTTAGTATTAAATATATATTTTCAAAATTAAAAAATATATCCGCACGAACGTACGTGTCAAAATTTTAATGTGTATTATATTGGAGGCTCCTTGGTACAAGTCTTTGTATGCTTCTAATCATCTCGTACATCAGCAATGGCCTGCCGTGTATTGGTAAAAAAAATTATATTAGAATTATAAATTATCTAGCTTCAATAATATCAATACTGACAGTTGATATACAGTATAACCTCTTTAAATTAATAATCTATAAATTAATATCTCTATAAATTAATATAATTTCATAGTCCCAAATTGAATTTTTGGTTCAATTAATATCTCGATAAATTAATAATCTCTATAAATTAATAAAAAATTTAGTTTTGGTGTAGTCCCAACATTATTAATTTATAGAGGTTTCACTGTACTAAATTTTGTTTTTTTGTTTTTATCTTTTTTTATAAGAGTATATAACTGGATCAAAATAAAAATCTTCTATAGTATTAAGTTCCAAACCATCATTAAACAAATTGGAGTTGAAATCAAATTCTTCTTGTAGTTATGGATTAAAAAAGTCTATTAGGCATTGAAAGCATTAGATATAATTAGGAACAAGATAAAATAGCCGATAAACATAATATATCATCAACAATTTAGATCTTAGAAGTTATGACACAGAAAACAAAATAATAAATTACAAAACATGTAATCCTTAAAATAATACTCCATCTCTTTCATTTTAGTTGTCATTTTAAGTTTGTGCACACAAATTAAGAAATCATTTAATTTTGCATATTTACAAAATAAAAACACAATTACCTATACACCTACCCACATTTTAACCAATAGAAAAATAGAAAAGTAGATAAATTAATAAATTATGTATTAAAATTATAAAACGACACTTATTTGGCAACAAAAATTTTTCTCTAAATCGACAAATAAAGTAGACTGAGGGAGTATAAGATAAAATTAATTATGAAATTATTGAGAATTTATAGATAAAATATTTATAAATAAATATATTAAGATAATATAATATAAAATAAATTATTTTATTATCGCTAGAATTTGTTAATATCCCCTTATTAATTATTAAATACAATAAAATCATCACATATATCACAAAGCTAAAGTTTTTATTAAACCTAATGACTCAGATTAAAATCATGGTGAAGATTAAAATAAGATAATATAAGATCAAATTAATAATGATATTATCGCAAAAAAAATTGTTGAATATAATTAAAATCATCAAATTAATCATTAAATTATTTATTAAAGCTAATGACTAAGCATAAAATCATGGAAAAAATGAAAATCAGCAAATTACTTCTCAAATCACTCAGCCTAGGTGTTTTCTCGTGCTAGGGTTGGAAGAAAAAATCTGAACTCAAAAAATTGAACCAAATCCGATCTGAATAATAGTGCTAAATCCAAACCGAAACTGATTAAATATCCAAAACTATTCAAAATATGGTATTTAAGGAACCGAATCCGATCCTAAATATTTCGCGTATCCAAATATATCTGAATTAGATATATATATACTTAAATATATTATCTATTTTTATATTTAATCTAAAAACTATCCAAAATGTATAAGATATTTTTAAATTGTCTCAAATATTTGAAATATATATAGATTAGTCAAAAGTAAATATCTCAAGTATCTAAACAATACTCAAAACACTAAAATATTTAAAATATATTTTAATTATGCATCCAAATATTCAATCAAAACCAAATTTATGTGAAGTTTAGGTATTTTGACATATATTTTATATGCTATATATTATTTTTACTTTTAGATTTTGAGAAATTTAAGGTTTATATGAATTTTAAATTTTTGAGAATAATTTAAATGAGTTACCTGAATCCAGACCAATCAAATCCGCAAAGATTCGATTCAATCCCAAACCAAAAATTATAAATATTTGAATGGGACTGAAAACTTTAACTCCAGGTGTTGCAATCTCTGTTACAAAACTGTGTTTCGGGTAACTGTAAAAAACAAAAGAATCTACGGATGTGGTGAAACAAAGTAACTACTGCATGTTCGTTTTATGAGCTCATCAAGTTTGTTACACACAATGACTTGGCATAATCATTCAGGATTCGTTGCCTACATTCTTTTTGAAAATGAATAATTTTGTTGTAACATCCTAAGTTATGATATATGGAAAGATTTTAGATGATTGATTTGGTTATCTATGTCACCAAGGTTGATTTACCTTTTTTGTCACACATTCATTTAGAACTTCAGAATTAAATGTGCTTGGGATAGAATAGTAAAAAACTAGTGACATATTATGAAGTGATTCGCGATACCATGTGAATGGGGCTAAAACACGGAAAAATGTCGGATGGTAATTGTAAGATCAGTAAACATGACTTTTGAATGAAAAAACTAATACACCGGCCGTCCGATGAAATGAGACCATGGGTCAACAAAAACGGGCGTGGGTGATCTATTAACCGTAGACTATCAGGCATGTTACACTTGTGTTTTGATTTAGGTACAGACCATCGTCCATCAATGGTATCATGTTTTTTTTGTCGACCAATGCCATCATGTTTAATTCAGTTTTAGTTCTTGGCTTCTTACTTTGTGTTTATTTTTATAGTTTAGACCGGTTTTAGCCTTGGTTTAACCGAAATTCACTCCATAGTTCGGTTCAGTTGATGACTGTAATTAGAAATTATGAACTTTTCAATTGGACGAAAATGAAACAGATTTAAAACCAATTTTGGTATTGACCGGGTTGAAGGTATTAATCGGTTTGTTCTACCCGGTTAGGTACAACTTTGTTGGTTTCAGAGAACATATTCCATGTGGAAGGGCAAAACCGTCATTTACAAATTCACCTGAACACAGTTTGAAAAAGGTCTTGTCGAGAGTGCCGACGAACCCTACCTCTTCATTCTCTCTCTCACTCTCTCCAAATATGTCTCTCTCCTCTCTCTCTCTAGACTCCAAACCGAGATTCGCCGTCGGAGGTCCATGCCACCGCCGCTATCCTCATCCCCACCACCCTCGCAGCTTCGTCGCATGCTCTCCTAAACGTCCAACAGTCTCAGCCTCACTAAGCGTCACCGCTGATTCAGCTACCACCGAGCAACCTCTCGGAAGGATTGGTTCACTGAGTCAAGTCTCAGGCGTGTTAGGTTGCCAGTGGGGAGATGAAGGCAAAGGCAAACTCGTTGACATCTTAGCCCAACACTTCGACATCGTTGCTCGTTGTCAGGTAAAAAGTTCACACTTTTATCCTCAGATTCTTGTGCCCCTTAGAGAATCACAATCATTTGTATTGAAAGTTGTTAACTTTGTATAGAGGGCAGTTGCAAAGTGTAATCATTTCTTTGTTTTGGATTAAAAGTTGTTAAGTCTGTAAAGAGGGCAGTTACAAAGTTTAAGTCTTTATTTGTTTGGATTGAAAGTTGTTAACTTTGTATAGAGGGTCGTTGCAAAGTTTAAATCTTTTTTTTTTTGGATTGAAAGTTGTTAATTTTGTATAGAGGGCAGTTACAAAGTTTAAGTCTTTCTTTGTTTTGGATTGAAAGTTGTTAATTTTGTATTAAGGGCTGTTACAAAGTTGAAGTTTTTATTTGTTTTGTGGTTTAACCATAGGGAGGAGCTAATGCTGGACACACTATATACAACTCAGAGGGAAAGAAGTTTGCTTTACATCTTGTGCCTTCTGGTATACTCAACGAGGATACCACTTGTGTGATTGGCAACGGAGTGGTGGTTCATTTACCAGGTCTCTTCAAGGAGATTGATGGTTTGGAGTCTAATGGTGTCTCCTGTAAAGGAAGGATCTTGGTCTCAGACCGTGCTCATCTCTTGTTTGATTTCCATCAAGAGGTTGATGGTCTCAGAGAATCCGAGCTTGCAAAATCGTTTATCGGAACGACTAAGAGAGGAATAGGTCCTTGCTACTCTAGTAAAGTGATAAGGAATGGAATTAGAGTTGGTGATCTTAGGCATATGGATACTTTGCCTCAGAAGCTTGACGTTTTGTTATCAGATGCAGCTGCGAGGTTTAAAGGGTTCAACTATACTCCAGAGATGCTTAGGGAAGAAGTTGAAGCGTATAAGAGATATGCTGAGAGATTGGAGCCTTATATTACTGATACTGTTCATTTCATGAATGATGCTATTTCTCAGAAGAGGAAGGTTTTGGTTGAAGGTGGTCAAGCTACAATGTTGGACATTGACTTTGGTACTTATCCTTTTGTTACTTCTTCCAGTCCTTCAGCTGGTGGGATCTGTACTGGTCTTGGTGTCGCTCCAAGAGCTGTTGGTGATCTTATTGGAGTGGTAAGTATAATATTGTAAGCACTGAAAGACACATGAAAGCGTTATTGATGATCCTTGTTTTTGTCAGGTGAAAGCATACACTACAAGAGTTGGTTCAGGACCATTCCCAACAGAGAATTTGGGACCAGGTGGTGACCTTCTTAGGTTGGCTGGACAGGAGTTTGGCACTACAACTGGTCGTCCTCGTCGGTGTGGCTGGCTTGACCTTGTTGCCCTGAGATTTTCTTGCCAAATCAATGGATTTGCGTCACTTAATCTCACTAAGCTTGATGTACTTTCCGACTTGGAAGAAATCCAGTTGGGTGTGGCTTATAAAAAGAGTGATGGTACTCGTGTTGATTCCTTCCCTGGTGATCTTCGCCTTCTTGAAGAACTGCAAGTAAGTGTTGTCCTTTTGACATGTGGTTGACTGTCTCCTTTAATTGATAGGGCAACTTCTCGAAACTCTGTTTATTTGAAAATGTATGTAGGTTGAGTATGAAGTGTTACCTGGATGGAAGTCTGACATATCCTCCATTAGAAACTACGCTGATCTTCCAAAGGCTGCACAGCTATATGTTGAGAGGATTGAAGAACTTGTGGGTGTGCCCATTCATTACATTGGTATTGGACCCGGTCGTGATGCCCTTATATACAAATGATGTTTAGGTTAGGCTTTTTTTTTGGCTCTTCCACAGACTTAAAAAAAGTGAAGAAGCATCATCAAGTTACTTTTAAATGATTACTCGCTTTTGGAGTGACTAATGTATCTGTTGTTGCATTGTTTCTTATATTGGAATGAAGAGGAATAAGGAATGAGTATGTTGAATTCTTGAAGTTTATACGCTTTCATGTTTGAACTTGCTCTATTTCCTTCCATTGATACAAAAGATCATTCTCGGCCTGTCAATAGTTCTGTAGGTATCTTTTAGACCTAGTCCAAAAGACAATGACTGAAAACGAACAGGACAGTCTCTAAGATTAGTGTCACGGGGATAATGCCTCCCTCCCTCGGATTCTGATTAGTCTTTGGTATTGAAACCTTTCTTAGGGTGCTAAATGCATCATGTGATGCGTCTTTATGTTATTCAGTTTTGTCGTTTTCTTTGCTTGACAGCAAGTTTGCGCTGCTGATCAATTTGGAGGCACATCTTGTTTTACAGGTAGATAAGTTCAGACCACCATGATTTTTATGTACTGTTTGTTCTTCATGGTAGGTAAGCTTTTTTTTTTGGCATGGTTACATGCACAAAACATATAACATTCTTTTAGGACTCTGAGTATCACTACTTTTCATGAACTCTTGAGAAAAAAAAATGAACATGGTTCATTAATATACCAAAAAGCAGAACAACTCGTTCATATTCAGAAGTACACTGACACATTTTATTGCTGCAGAGACTGCACTCTGAGCATATCTCTTTCTATCCCTGCAGCTACACTATTACAAAACACACTACGCTAAACCTAACTCCACACGTGTACTTCTGAATCTGATCTTCACTCATCTAAGTTCCAGATGGAAGGGAAACCTAGATCATCCTCGAAATCATAGCTTCCCAAATTGTTGGAGTCAAACCACATAGCTGAGGTTTCACTTCCTGGCATCTCTATCATCGTTTTCCAGCTTAAACTCTGAGCTGCGAAAGGACTTACAGTTTCTTGTTCGTTCCATGGAGGAGTGTAATGACATTCTCCTACTTCACTTGCTTCTGCTTGACTCTCATCCTTCAAGATCCCCATCTGCTGAATAAACTCGTTCAGGTCCATCTCTGGTTTCTTCTGGTCACCATCGTCACCACCTTCCAACATCTTGCTGGTCTTTTCATCAAGAAGTCTAGTAGTTGAGGAAAAGGAATGAGATAGAAGTCCGTTTCTCTTGAGCTCATCTAGTCTTTGCTGGATAATGTGAAGACTAGGCTGAGCATTCAGGTTAAGCAAACCACGAGAAGGGAACATAGAGATAAACTTCTTTGAAGGCACCCATTTAAACCTCTGAGTATTGTTCACAGGAGGCCCTTGTTTCCTTTGTTGAAGATGAGGTAAGTTGAGATAAGCGTCTTGGCCATATAGTTTCAGTGCGGCTTTGTCATAAGCCATGGCTGCTTCTTCAGCAGTAGCAAAGGAGCCAAGCCAGAGTCTTGCCCTCTTCTTAGGCTCTCTGATCTCAGCTACCCATTTGCCCCACGTCCTTTGTCTGACTCCACGGTACTTACAAAGAGCGTTTTGTGGACCGCCTTTACCACGAGCAGGACCTTTCTTCCATTGTTTCATTGAGGATGGTTTCTCCATTTTTGTTTTGCAGACAGTGAAGAAGAAGAAGAAAGAAGAGATGATGTGAAACTTAGAAAGAGTTGAGTGTTTAAATAGTGTCACGGTTCTCTTCACTTCACAGAGAATTGTTTTATTTTTTTCACCCGCGCTCATGTGACCGTTGCTTTCTCATCATCTGTTATTTCCAGAGAGAGAACAAAAGGTCTCTCATGCCTTCTTCTTTTCTTGTCGGAAAAGATTAATAAAAATAATCCTTAGTTGTAGATGTCAAATTATATATCAAACAGTAGTAGTAATGCCATATTATTATCCACTTTGATGATAGAATTTTCACACTCATGGCAATCCATTAGACGATTGGGCATATATTCTGCCATTCCCAATTTCCCATTCTTTTGCATTTACATTTTCAAAGAAATATTTTACCCATTGGACCTCTTTTTACCGGTTCGGTTAAAGGTTGGCATCTAATACATTTTCACTTATATTTAATCAGTTTTTTTATATAAAAAACAGTTCATTCACTTTTTTTATTAATAAGAAATTCTGATCAGGATTCCAAAACTACATTATGGAATATTAGTTTTGTCATAAACATTACTCGGCCGTATTTTACCTCTATGCATTGTTTCAATTTTATTTTCAGTTGACTAACAATATTTAGTTAGTTCAGTCGCATTAAATCGATAGTCAATTTTATTTGTTTGGTGTAAAAGATACACTAATCAAATTATAACTAAACAAATGAAAACAAAAGAAGTGTACGCATTTTTAATTGGTTCTGATTCAATTGGACAAACTTTAATAAAAATACCTTTGTAAATCTAAATTTTATCAATTCTGTTTCGTTGAATTTGTCAAACCATGATACCAGCCAAATGATTACAAATAAATTTTTTTATTTATTTTGATTTTTATTTTGTTATTTTGTGGTTATTCAAATAAAGGTACATATTGTTAAAATTTTGTAAATAATTCATTCACATTGTTATATAAAAAATTGAGACGAATATTTGACTCAACTTGTTTTTTTCTAACTTTTGAATATAATCGTACATTGGATCCAATTTGGTTATGTGGCTCTAATATGTTATAGTTAGAGTGAGATATGGTGAGACAAATGTAAAGGTGTTTCCCTATGATTCTTTTCCTGAGACACTTTAAAGCTTTTGGGTTTTATTATTTTTTCTATCTTTTAGGTTGTCTTCTTTAGGAGGAGAATTGGATTGAAGTGAGAAAAGAGAGGCAAAGTCACGAGCCACACACACACAAGAATCACGTGTCCTCGTGAGGATGTACTCTAAGTGTTTTTAGAGATTCTTCAGATTTATTCGCCGCTCCCTTCATCTATATCCCATGATCATTTTCCCTTACGTTCACATCTAATCACCACGTTGTCCATAAAATTCATTTACTTATTAAAAATAAAATAAAATAAAAGTGATTATACCAAACATTACACCAATTACTTTTCTCTGATCGTATGCTCATACTCGACTATGTGAACTTGTACCATTAGTTGGTCTATAGAATACTTGTAAATTCATTGTTGTGCTGCCCAAGCTTAAAACAGTTTATTTGCTGTATCTATTGTATCTATTCATCATAAGTTCTCTATAAATGGAAATTTAGAAAGTCTATTGTTTATGAAACTTGGGGATAGTGAACGTGTCAATTCAATATAATAAAATTGTAAATTTTAAATTAGAAAACAGAAAACAAAATAAAGGGTTAAACAATACCATTGTGTTATAGTGTTACATATGTAGCAGTTGTCTTGATTCAGTTCAGTGGACAATCGCTTTTAATCATGTAGCAACTTCTAGCATAACATAAACAATTCGTATAGCATTTTCATAAAATCAAGTTTTTTTTTTTTTTTTCATAAAATCAAGTTATGATTAATACTTTTTTCTTAAAAAGCTAATTTTCCATGAGAAAAATACAAAAAGATTAGGCTCATAGCTTGCTTTTTTTTTATAACACTCTCGTAGCTTGCTTCAAGTGCCACATATCTGCATACCAATTTCTTCATCACTTGACACACAATAAGGAGAAAATGTAAAATATATATAATAATATGTATACAGTCTGATCTTAGTGGGAGAAAAAGACATTACGAGGGTGTTATACATGCCAATAGCTTATCACGGACTTCACGTACGTCTTGACAAGGATCTGACAAGGATGCTTTAGACAAAACTGATCTTGCTTCGAGCAATCCTTCTGATAAGCGTTCCAGTAGCACGTCTTCACTCGCCATGAGTTATGCCATCAGTTTTGCACCAGCCAGCTTCTCCTAGAGAATTACAATACATATCACGAGTATAATGTGACTAGTTTCATGTGGAACGAAAACGACTCTTCATAATATCATTGTTGTGACTTGTTTTCTGGTACCTTTTGGGATCCTTTAGACCTTAGGGCAAGTTTCAGTGGATCAGTTGCATAAGGGAGAAGTGTGGACTTTAGATGGTACATGGCCGAGAATAGGACTTGGATACAAGCTGCTTGGACCTCAGGCGCAGTTATGAATTGCACCCGAATCAATAAATTATACAAGTTTATAAACAGATTTAACCGAAATTAGTATCAGCAGATCAACACCTTTGACAATGAAGGTAAGCTAAACTGTTGTTTAAGATAAACTTTGCACCTCTATTGGCTTTTTTTTTTAACACTACAAGAAAACTAAGATTTTACTAGGAAATTTTACTAGAAAATAATTCCTCGTAAATTTACTACGAACTTATTTCGGGTTTACGAGAAAAAAAAGTTTCCTCGTAACGTCCTCGTAAAGTTACGAGAAAACGTTTTTCTCGTAAGACCGTAGTAAACTTACGAGGAAACTACGTGGCAAAATACCATTTCCTCGTAAGCTCGTAATAAATACTTTCCTCGTAAAGTCCTAGTAAATCTTTACTACAAAATTAGGAGGAAATAATCTTTTACTTCAAATTAGCGAGGAACTTGATAGAAAATATCTAATTTAAATCTAAAACGTGCTTTGTACCTACTTTTCCTATCAATTTCCTAGTAAATGCTCAGATTCAAAAATTTCTATAAGTACCACCATTTGTGATTTATTTCAAACACACCAAAAAAAAATCAGCTTTAAGCTTGATCAAAGACAAAAAAATGTCCGGTCCGGAAAATATTTTCGAGTTGCAGAAGTGGATGTATTCACACAGAGATAATAACGGAAGAGTGACGAAAGAATTTCTCGAAGGGTTGGAGACGTTTATGCATCAAGCAGATTCTACACCACTCACGCAGGAAAGTGGTAAGATGTTATGTCCTTGTCGGAAATGATGCAATACAAAATTAGGCCCTCGAGAAAATGTTTGGAAGCATTTAATAAATAGAGGTTTCATGCCATATTATTATATTTGGTATCAACATGGAGAAGATGCTAGTTGTAGGAATGAAGGTAGCAGTAGTAATATCAATTTTCAGGTTGAACCGGTTGATCATTTGCGTAATGAAAATAGCTATCGTCACCAAGAGGAACAAATGGTAGATTGTGATAAGGTTCATGGTATGGTAGGTGATGCATTTGTAACTCATGATGATGATGAAGTTGAAGAACCTAACTTAGATGCAAAAAAGTTTTATGAAATGATAGAAGCTGCGAATGAGCCAATTTACAGTGGTTATAGAGAAGGTCTGTCTAAATTGTCGTTGGCTGCTAGAATGATGAGTATTAAAATCGATCACAATCTACCTGAAAATTGTATGGATGCATGGGCAGACTTGTTTAAAGAATATTTGCCAGAAGACAATGTGTCTGCTGAATCTTATTATCAGATTCAGAAATTGGGTATATAGACTTGGGTTGCCTTCGGAGATGATAGACGTTTGCATCGACATGATTTACTGGGGAGATGATGAGAAGTTAGAAGAATGTCGATTTTGCAAGAAGCCACGATTTAAACCGCAAGGTCGAATGCGTAATAGGGTACAATACCAAAGGATGTGGTATCTACCAATCATAGACAGATTGAAAAGATTGTACCAATCTGAGGAGACTGCTGGAGGGATGAGATGGCACGCCGAGCATACTCAGACGGATGGAGAGATGACTCATCCATCAGATGCAAGAGCCTGGAAACATTTTAATAATGTACATCCACATTTCACTAGCAATAGCCGGAATGTGTATCTTGGATTATGCATTGATGGATTTAGTCCATTTGGAATGTCTGGGAGACAATATTCATTGTGGCTGGTCCTTCTTACACCGTACAACCTGCCACCGGAGATGTGCATGCGACGAGAGTTTCTATTCTTGACCATATTAATACCTGATCCAAAACATCCAAAAAGATCTCTCGACGTTTTTCTACAACCACTGATAAAAGAGTTGAAAGATTTGTGGTCAACAGGGGTGAGGACATATGATTGTTCAGCGAAAACATAATTTATGATGCGAGCTATGCTTTTGTGGATCATAAGTGACTTTCATGCATATGGGATGTTGTCTGGGTGGACTACACATGGGAGATTAGCTTGTCCATATTGTAATGGAATGACATATGTGTTTCAGTTGAAGCATGGTAGGAAGACTAGTTGGTTTGATTGTCACCATTGATTTCTTCCCGTTTACCATCCATACCGAAGAAACAAGAAATTGTTCAGGCACAAAAGGGTTGTCAGAGACACTCCTCCTCCATATATAACTAGAGAACAAATCGAAGCGCAAATCGATTACTACGGTGCTCTAGAAACAACTCCTCGTGGTGGGAATTGGCATGTTCCCAGTAATATACCTGATTCTTATGGTGTTCAGCACAATTGGCACAAAAGAGTATATTTTGGGAATTGCCATATTGGAAAGATCTTCTTTTGTGCCACAACCTCGATGTGATGCATATAAAGAAGAAATTTTTTGAGAACATTGTGAACACTATATTGAATCTCCCAGGGAAGACGAAAGACAACGTAAAATCGAGGTTGGAGTTACCCGATATCTGCTCAAGGAGTGAGCTACATATAAAAAGCAATATGCAAGTTCCAGTTCCGATATTCAGACTGTCATCAGAAAAAAAAGTTTGTGTTGTTCAA